AATGTTTCATCAAAATCCGTGACCTGACCAAAATCAACAAATTTCATGAGTGCCCATTTTTGGCTATTTTTACAAGTTTTCAAGGTTCTTAGAAAAATAGTAAACATAGTCATAAAATTAAGAAAATTTTAGCATTTGTGGGAAATTTTATGTAGATTTAGAATATAATATAATGGTTTAACAGTTAAGTGTTCTGGTTTTGTAAGAAACTGGATTTTTAAACTCTTGTTTTCGAACGATTTTTCATAGTTATTATCTATGGAAAAAATCGAAAAATTGACTACTTTTGACTATTTTTTACCAGTTTTCATGACTACCACTGTATATATCTGTCATCTAATGCCTCCGAAACCTAATTTGGACGGGCCAGGTGTTTAGCTAGACAATGTATGTGAATGAAAAATAGATTTTAAGGATACTATAGTATTTTTCTTGGCATGAAACGCTTTTCAATGCAGCGTTAAATAGTTTTCCGATAAAAGAGTCTGGAGAAAATTAGGAAATCTTGCCAATTAACGTCAATGTGTTAATTTGACCAGCACCGGACTCATAATAAAAGCTTTTTTTTAGAAAAATTCCAACCAATTATTAATAATTATTATTATCAGGCTGGTAAACCATTTTTTTTATCGACATACAGGTGTTATATAACTGTTTTAATCTTCATCGAGATATTTGAAAATGCCAGACGGTTAATATTGCATTGTTTTTTTTTATTTCATTCATATTTCTATACAGATCCATTGATACGTTCATGAATTTTTAAATTTTTTCGAATAATTAAAATTATTAGTATTTTTTCAAATATTCAGTAGATTACAAAACAAAATGATACGGTTCATTCATTCAAATACTATACTCGAAAGTTATGTTTATATTTTATAAAATGATATAATATGGTACCATAATTTCGACACATATTTTTAAAAAAAATGTTTCATTCAAATGCTTGCTAATGTTAATATTATGTCGACAAATATTATGAAATTTGTTGCTGTATAAAATGTAATACTTTATTTAAATAAAGCCAAGTGCATTTTAAGCATAAAATGCGACAAATAGCAGTATGTTTGGGCTTTGGTTTGGGTTATTATTTATTTATTAATAACAAACAGTTGTTCGGAATGGTTTATATGTGGATTTTTAGAATGTTTAAACAAATAAATTCGAAATCTATGCATATAGAGAATGTTTACACCATTTTTGGGCCAATTTTAAAGATCTCTGATTTGTTGGATTGTATATTCAAATCATTGGGAAAAAATCTAGAAAGATATTGAAATATAGTTCATGTCAAATAAACTTTTAGTCACGTGATTAAGCTTGACCGGCACAACGTTGCCAACTTTTACGTATTTTCTTTTAATCAAAACATTTTAGGAAACAAAAATAAGCTAATTATAAATATATAAACGGTTATTATATTATATACATCAACCGAGACATCAACAAAACTCAGATTCTTAACAGTACTTAAGAGATTACAGTTGCGGGTTGGAACCTTTGGTGTTACACAGCAAAATAAAAACACTAAATCACCACAATACACCAAAACACTTTTACTTTTATACTGGACGCGCGTGCCGCTAACCATGTTAGCATCATCAGCAGATGATTATAAACTAAAGTACAATCTACAAGTTGAGCGTTTATATACTCGCTCAGTGGGCACCGAGTGGGCGTGGCAAAATCTAGCCAACCGAGTCAGAGCCCACTGAGCGTAACAGTTAGATTTCCGCCACTAGAGTAGTAGGAACAAAGAACTTGAAGGAATTGGACCGTTGTCTCTGTTCATACTATCTTTACATTATACACTACACACACTATAATGTGAATCACATCATAGTGTTGAACATAAAATGGCTAGTTTAAATTTCTTAGTTCATAGATTACTTAGTTTTCCACTTTCCAACGAAAGATATGAAATAGAAAGAGATTACATTAGGAATGTAGCTGAGTGTAATGGATATTCCCCTTCACTAGTTGATAAATTAATTAGAAAACGTAGGTATAGGTTAATGATTTCTGAAAATTCGACTTTTCAAGTGGAGAAAGTTACGTCTAAATATTTTTCGATACCGTTTGATAGAGAGTTATCCCGTGGTCTAAAAGGAATTTTTAAGAATGTCAATTATAAACTTGTGTATAGTGCTAATAATAAATTACAACAATTATTAGGTAATCCAAAGGATAAAACCCCTCCACTGGAAAGGTCGGGTATTTATGAAATTTCTTGTAAAGATTGTAATCAGAAATATGTTGGGCAAACTAGAAGATCAATATTAACTAGATTTAAAGAACATTTAGCTCAGATAAGATATGGTAGACCGGATAAATCTTGCGTTGCCGAACATATTGTTTATTTTTAAAGCATCAGAATTACTAAATGTAAAGATAGTATGAACAGAGACAACGGTCCAATTCCTTCAAGTTCTTTGTTCCTACTACTCTAGTGGCGGAAATCTAACTGTTACGCTCAGTGGGCTCTGACTCGGTTGGCTAGATTTTGCCACGCCCACTCGGTGCCCACTGAGCGAGTATATAAACGCTCAACTTGTAGATTGTACTTTAGTTTATAATCATCTGCTGATGATGGTTAGCGAAACGCGCGTCCAGTGTAAAAGTAAGTGTTTTGGTGTATTGTGGTGATTTAGTGTTTTTATTTTGCAGTACTTAAGAGACATAAAGGACCATTACTACCGCTTTCCCGTTCAAAATATTCTAATACTGCGATGAGTTTTTTACGGCTATTAAGCTATATTGTCCACTTCTTACTAAAAGAGGTTCTAAAAAGAACAATGTTCGACTGCAAGGTCTGCTAGTAAACATTTTCAAGCTTAAAGTATCAAAACACATTTTATATAAACCAAAAAAGTGTCAACACGAATGACAATGTCAGGAAATAAATAAATGTGACAACTTGACAATTTTTACAGCAGAGCTACCACCTGAATCCCTAGCGGGAAATTTAAATTGCAGTTAGTCAGCCCGGCGCCGAATATGTCCATGATTGGCAACAATGAATATAAAATCGCGCTCTCGATTACGTAACTAAAAGTTTAATTGGTATCAAATATACAGGGTGGCGCACCTCATTCGCCTCGGTTGATTATACGAAAACGGAAAGATGTAGAAACAAAATATGTTATGGGTATATGTGGGAAGGCAATGCTTTAAAAAAATTAACCCTATGATCGAAAAAAAAACGGCGTCAAAGAAGGCTGGGGAATGACAACCGATTATTTATATAACCGATAATTTAAGGCTAACTTAAGGCAGTAAGCGCCATTAAAAAACAAAGAAGATCAACACGAGCCAAGTAAATGACGTCTAGGGCTGAACCTCGCCAAAATTGTCGTCGATCGTCATTTCGCAGCCGTCTTTGACGCCGTTTTTTTTTCGAAGGTATGGTATTTATGTACCTTGTTATAGAGCACTAGGGCCTTTTCATATTCGCCCCTTCTAAAAGCTAGAGTTGCCTGTTTTTTGAGAGTCTCCATTTTTTCTCGTCTTACTTGTTTTTCTTTGTATCTTCTGTCGGCATCGCGGGACATTTCATCCATAAAAGCTTCTAAAATACGTGAATTTTATAAAATATTTGTTGATACGTAGTAATAATCATTTAATATTAATAAACTGTTTTGCAAAATTACATTTTTTTTGTGAAATTATGCAAAAATATTTTATTTTTACAGATTTATTGTCTTATTAAAAATACTACAATGTATCAATATTTTTTTGTAAAATTACTTATACCTTTTTCGGTATACCAAACTATCGTTTCTTTGATTTTAATAAAAAAACAAACATTAAGTAATGTTATCGGGTAGTAGAGGTAAGCAAAGATTGAACGAGTCGTTCATTTGAACGAGTAACGAACGAGTAACTTGAAGCGTGGCCAGCACGAATCCATAAAATTTGAACGAACGAGTGAGAATTGAATCGGATCACAATGCGACTCGTTCGTTTCTACGGCTCGTTCGTTCAAAAATCATGAAATTGAATCGTGTGATTCGATTTACTAAAATGATCGTAATCCTCATCACTCATCACTAACAGTCAGCTAGCGAGACGAAAAGCGGTAACGGTCTGCGCGCTGGGAGTAAAAATTCAAGGCCGTGACACAGAGCTAGCGAGACGAAAAACAATAACGATCTACGCGCTGGGAGTAAAAATTCAAAGCCATGACATACGGGATAGCGAGACGAAAAGTGGTAACGATCTGCGCGCTGGGAGTAAAAATCAATGCCATGACACATGAGCTAGCGAGACGAAAAGTGGTAACGACCTGCGCGCTGGGAGTAAAAATTCAAAAAATGACACACACGAACTAGTGAGACGAAAAGTGGTAACGATCTGCGCGCTGGGAGTAAAATTCACAACCGTGACACACGAGTTAGCGAGACGAAAAGTAGTAACGATCTGTGCTATCTACTAACAGCCTACGACTTAGAAATACGTAGAGACGCAATGTGTATTTGTATCAGTCCATCAAGAATATAATATATGAAAACAGTGCACACAGATTTTTTTTTTGAAAATTCGAGACTAATTTTAAAAGTCAATTCCATATGCAACACATAATCCTGGCAATTACCAGGCAACAAAAACGGGAATGTGTGCCACGCACAGGAAACAGTAATGAAAAATATTTAACAAATATTTTTTCAATTTATCAAATAAAATTCCGCCGTTTCAGTTTGTTTTATTTCGAGTTCGATTGAAAATAGTTTAAAAAATATCCGCTTTTGTGTTTTATCAGCTCGTAAGCCGGCTTTAATGAATAAACTATATGCAAATTGAATATGCCCGTATGCGGCAATAACCCAATAAATTTGGTCGATATTGAAAAAAACGAAAAATATTTGCTACAAAAAATGAAATTAACAAAAAAAATGACTGGTATTAACAATTAAACCCAATGTAAACATGTTAGTTCTATTTACCTTTCTATTTACAAATGTTTGTATCCTAGTAACTAGATTTAATTTGGCAGATGTTTGATCAATAAGAACTACACGAATAAAACCATAACTAGTTATTAGCAAGTGTTCTCTCTGACCATAACTATCAAAGTCAATTATGGAGTTGTCAAAAAATATCCCACCAAATGTTATTAACAATTCAGAAGACATAAATGAGGAATTTAATAATTTTATGCACAAAGTTAATGAAGTAATACATGCAATAATTTCTATCATACTTATGTTATTTATATATTAGTTCTATATGTTTTTAGGTTAACCGAATAGTTAAAAATCTAGCTTCAAAGGATAAAGACGTACAAAAACGAGCAGACGAGGAGGCTAGACGTTACTTAGGAGAAGATAAAGAAATCCTATACGAACATTTTGACGAAGAAAATGTTTCTTTGACCGTTTCGAGTAGTAAGACACTTGTAAATCGCAAGGCATTAGAGGATGACAAGAATAGAAATCCTGACGAGATGTCCAAAGGTTTTAGTGTAGTACCTTTGAATAAAAATACTTAACAATTATTAACAATGCTCCTATAGATATATTCCTGAATCTTTTTGTTCAAAGATCTAAGCTATACTTACGTCATTTGGTACAGTATGGTGTTTGTGTCTGTTATTTACAAAGTTGATCCTTTCTCTCATGACGCCCTCTAAATTTTTATTTTATTGTCTAAAAAAATAACAGACCATTGTAAACCCTTAATATTCATAATAAACCTTGCCCCAAAGACGATTCATTTCTCATTTAAATTACATAGGAATTTGCCACTTTTTGCAAATATTTTTTTTCTCTTGATCTTGTTCTCTCGCAGCCATGACAATCATATATTCTACAAAATTGAACGCTCTACAAAAAAGGTCTCTTAATTTTTCGATAAACCTACTCATTCAAAGTTATTCACGGTTAAAGTTAACCACTCGGTAAATTCCCAAATTTTTCAACTTCTTTGACAAAATTATGATTATTTTTGAAAAATTTAATCTATTACTGTAAAAATATACAATTCTAATGGTGTTAAGGTTGGGAATTAAGAAATCTTCAAGTCTAATGAAGTTTAAACCATTTCTCAGTATAGCTAATTTATTTTAATAAACATTCTTAGTTGGAATCTGATATTTCTTCTTATACTCGTTTACAGTCTGAATCGGAAAATAACGGAGACCCTAATGACCATTCTAATCAGTTAATAAAGAGTCAATAAATGAAATATAAAATTTATTGAAAATTTTGTTTATATTGGGTTTAATTGTTAATACCAGTCATTTTTTTTTGTTAATTTCATTTTTTGTAGCAAATATTTTTCGTTTTTTTCAATATCGACCAAATTTATTGGGTTATTGCCGCATACGGGCATATTCAATTTGCATATAGTTTATTCATTAAAGCCGGCTAACGAGCTGATAAAAGACAAAAGCGGATATTTTTTAAACTATTTTCAATCGAACTCGAAATAAAACAAACTGAAACGGCGTAATTTTATTTGATAAATTGAAAAAAATATTTGTTAAATATTTTTCATTACTGTTTCCTGTGCGTGGCACACATTCCCGTTTTTGTTGCCTGGTAATTGCCAGGATATGTGTTGCATATGGAATTGACTTTTTAAAATTAGTTTCGAATTTTCAAAAAAAAATCTGTGTGCACTGTTTTCATATATTATATTCTTGATGGACTGATACAAATACACATTGCGTCTCTACGTATTTCTAAGCCGTAGGCTGTTAGTAGATAGCACAGGTCGTTACTACTTTTCGTCTCGCTAACTCGTGTGTCACGGCTGTGAATTTTTACTCCCAGCGCGCAGATCGTTACCACTTTTCGTCTCACTAGCTCGTGTGTCATTGCTTTGAATTTTTACTCCAAGCGCGCAGGTCGTTACCACTTTTCGTCTCGCTAGCTCGTGTATCACGGCATTGATTTTTTACTCCCAGCGCGCAGGTCGTTACCACTTTTCGTCTCGCTATCCTGTGTGTCATGGCTTTGAATTTTTGCTCCCAGCGCGCAGATCGTTATTACTTTTCGTCTCGCTAGCTCTTGTGTCACAGCTTTGAATTTTTACTCCCAGCGCGCAGACCGTTACCACTTTTCGTCTCGCTAACTGACTGTTAGCGATGCGTGATGAGGATTACGATCATTTTTAGTAAATCGAATCACACGTTTCAATTTCTCATGATTTTTGAACGAACGAGCCGTAGAAACGAACGAGTCGCATTGTGATCCGATTCAATTCTCACTCGTTCGTTCAAATTTTATGGATCCGTGCTGGCCACGATTCAAGTTACTCGTTCGTTATGTTCAAATGAACGACTCGTTCAATCTTTGCTTACCTCTACTACCCGATAACAATTACTTAATGTTTGTTTTTTTATTAAAATCAAAGAAACGATAGTTTGGTATACCGAAAAAGATATAAGTAATTTTACAAAAAAATATTGATACATTGTAGTATTTTTAATAAGACAATAAATCTGTAAAAATAAAATATTTTTGCATAAATTCACAAAAAAAATATAATTTTGCAAAACAGTTTATTAATATTAAATGATTATTACTACGTATCAACAAATATTTTATAAAATTCACGTATTTTAGAAGCATTTATGGATGAAATGTCACGCGATGCCGACAGAAGATACAAAGAAAAACAAATAAGACGGGAAAAAATGGAAACTCTCAAAAAACAGGCAACTTTAGCTTTTAGAAGGGGCGAATATGAAAAGGCCCTAGTGCTTTATAACAAGGTACATAAATACCATACCTTCGAAAAAAAACGGCGTCAAAGACGGCTGCGAAATGACGATCGGCGATAATTATGGCGAGGTCAAGCCCTAGACGTCATTTACTTGGCTCGTGTTGATCTTCTTTGTTTTTTAATGGCGCTTACTGCCTTAAGTTAGCCTTAAATTATAATCGATTGTCATTCACGAGCCTTCTTTGACGCCGTTTTTTTTTTCGATCATAGGGTTAATTTTTTTAAAGGTAATAAGTTATTTTTTTTACGTACTTTTATTAGGCAATTGACCAAATTAAAGATAGTGTAACACTATACAATAATAGGGCTTTAACCTATATAAAACTAGGATTCCTGGATAAAGCCAAGCATGATCTAACAGAATGGGCATTGAGAATTAACGAGGACTGTCTTAAGTCCTGGTTATTGTTGGCCAAAGTTAACTTTCTGGATAAGAAAACCAAGGAATACGAAAATTCCGTTTTCGAAGCTAAAAAACGAAACCCTGACAAAATAGATTTTATTGAAGGTAAGAAAAATAATATAAAATATAATTTTTGTTGATTTTTGTGTTTAATTTTGTAGAATACTTGACTGAAATTAGACTAGAAGAACTTGGATAGGATTGTATAAAATATTCCTAGTTGTTTTTATGGGTTATAATAAAAAATAAAGTCTTGTTTGACAGAAGTTCCAGTTTTTTTTATTCTATTAAAATTATTTTGAGGATTTTGCGAAATAAATACAATCGTTATTTAAAAATTTATAATACAGATGCTTGTCTCTTTTACTGCCTAACAAAAAATAAACTAAGATAAAAATAACAACAATAAATAAATTAAAGAAGAAAGAAAAAATCAAAGAAAAAAAAAACAAAACTAATTTGTTAATTAGAACTAATAAATTAATGAGAAATGAAAATTATGTACCTTTTATTAAGAAGTTCTATAAAACTATTTTAATAAGAACTAATATAACATACGATCGAAAAAAAACGGCGGTTGTTTGTAATTGATATTTATATTGAGTTAAAATTAGTTTTAAATGGTATAGTTCAAAATTCGAGAAAAAGCCTTTTTTTAAATAGATGTGTGTCTGGAAATTAATTAGTGTTAAGTTTTATGTCGATTTTTAGTAAATGACGTTTAGAGACTGACATTATTTTTTTATCATACGGTATACAACCCAAAACATTATAAATTATTTTTTTTCTTGGCTAGAATTGTCACTTCTAGGCTGGGAACTATACAGGGTGAGTCTGAAATAAGTGCAAATATTTTCAGGGCTGGTAGATCTTGATAAAAGAAACATATTTTCTCTTTGCCGTTTTTAGCACAGTTATTTTACTTTGAAAATTTCCAAAAAAAATATTTTTTGCTTAAATTTTGAGGACCCCTGAATCTGGTCTGGGTTTTCTTTCTTATAAATTTAATCTACTCGCTATGTTGACACATTTTCAAAAGATTATGTTTTTACTTAAAACTAAAAATAATGCAAAAAATGTTTCAAAAAATTCCAAATTTTAAAAAAAAAATTTCGCGAAAAAAACCCTCATAATCGTGTTTCTGGGGTCGAAATATTCTACCCTTAAAATATTTGCACTTATTTAAGACTCACCCTGTATAATCTTTAAAGATAATGCTAATGTTAATAAGTATGTTGTATACTCCATAAAAACTATTGACTTTTTTATTCCTTCTTCAAAATAGAACTTTAAAATCCGTTTTTTTTATATTTTCTTCTGAACGAGTGGCATACTTTCACCATCCTTATCATCTTGAGTTCTACCAAATCTCTCCATTGGTAGAATCCCAGCATTGGCATCTTCGATAGCTTTCCTCAAGTCCTTCAGACCTACAACCCCTACCAGTTTTCCTATGTTCGTTACATACGCTGTATTGATGGACATCATTGAGAACAAGGAATGAACTTTGAGCAAAGAGGTGTGTTCCACAAGCTGGAACGGTGCTGGATCCACATGGCACAAAGTAAAATCGATTGATTCGTTAAGTTGGTTTTCTTCCCATTCTTTCTGTAGAAACCTCGGTAGATCGCACACTCTTTGAACCAGAACCTGTTTAAAAGTGTTTCATTTTTTTTAAAAAGTTGAACGGCCAAATGAAAGTAGTCTAGGTATGGACTTTACTGATTTTGCTGACTGTGTCATTGTATTGGCTCTCGGTAAATTAAGAGTGACAGGTAAAGCTGAGAGTGAAAACAGTAAAACAGCCAGCAAAATAAGTAAAAGACCGACATCATAAGGAAACTGCAGGTCGTACAACGCTCAATGGAACGAAATATGCTGGGAATAACCAAGAAAGACCGTAAAAGAATAGAGTGGATACGACAAAAGACCAAGGTAATATAGTGTGACCAACGGATCTGTAGCTACGGGGTATCGGCAGGGGAACGCAGTTGTAAACAAAACACGCCCAATTTCATTCATAAAATAGGCATGGGCGTACGGTGTTATATGAAAATAATGTGTATCATAAATATAATACTCTACTTTATGCTGTTTGAATCGTTACTGTTGAGTTAGCAGATAAACACTAAAAGCTTTTATTAAAGCTCCCTTAAATATTTTGAATCATTTTATTATTGTGTTGTTAATATAATAGAAGAAATAATTACAGCTGGGGATTGGAACCTTTGGTGTTACACAGCAAAATAAAACACTAAATCAGTACAATACACCAAAACACTTTTAATTTTACACTGGACGCACGTTTCGCTAACCATGTCTGCCATCACCAGATGATCAAGACTGAGTCTTGAGGTATATTTATTTATATCGGTACTAACTATATTTTTTTCTATAATACATAATTTTAGATATAACTATTTCCAGCAAAAAAAAAATCTTGAAAATAGTTAACTTTGGAAGCGCAAACAAAACATAATTTTACTCACCAGTAGATCCAATATTGCCTATTACACCAGATATGGTATCGCTCCGCAGCAGTTTTTAAAGGTTAGGTCATTGTCTACCCATATGTTACATCCAAATAGATAATACTTGGCTATATTTTCGAATTTCGCGTATATATATTTATATCTCTCTCTGCAATATAATGGGCCGCTCCATTAATATTTATCTGTTATTTTAACATTTACGCCAAAAAAATTCATTTGATTTTAATAACCCCCTAAGCGTTTCCCTGCAAAAGGAAAATTCGATTCTTCCTGCAATTTTTGCAAAAGCTTTCTAATTGTGGGGACGAGTTTGAATTCGAGATAAAATCTATTTATCAAATTCCTGACCACTTCGAAAAAGTCGTTGAGCTTTTCGACAGCAGTCTCACGTGGTCGTTTCTTTCCAGAGAGGATATCATTTTATCGGGGTTAGTTTTCAGCCTTTTTTTTATCTTCTGTGTGAATTTTTTTATAGCCGATACGCTAACTCCGGTATAAAGAAATATCCGCTCAAGTTTACGTTTAAGCGGCAACTCAAGCGAACTCTCTGTAGCTTCTTCATCGCAAACCCTATTATGAACACAAGGAAATACACCAAATGAGATTTCATCCACGTTATTATTAACTTACCTATATAAATTAGCTATTATTTCTCTTGTCTGACTATGTAGCGTCTTACCCTTAACAAATTTATTCGTTTTAAAACACAAATATACGATCAAACTTGATATTAATAATTAAAAACTACGAACGAAAAACATTATAACAAGATAACAAAACAATAAAACACAACTTAACTATCAAATATACTAAAAATATAGGAATAAAGTTTAGGATAACCGGTATAAAATAATGAAATAAAGTAATAATGATCAAAAAAATGACACCGCCACTGGATATTTCAATAGTATTCAATATTCCTACTCTTTTCAGAAGAGACCGTGAAGTTGGGGATAAAGCAAGCGAATAGGAAAGGCGTAAAAGCCATGGCAACCGCGTGGTAACAAATCCTGTGACGTACTGCCAATCATGTTCGATGAATAGGCGGCCATGCGCGGCGATGCCGGTTTGCCAATGATATCGTTGAAAATCTTCAACTTTCATAATAGGCAGATTATACAGAATGAAAGAAATAAGTTATTAAATAAAACATATCGAACAATATGAACTACGTTAAAATTCCTTAGTAATATACGTCAGAATATATGCTAAACACATTATATATAATAAAAATATATTAAATTTATAGTTCATGTCTGGCAATTTTGCAATTTTATAGATAAACGTGGCAATATCGATTTTTTTTTCTCGCATTCCTTCCGTAGCTACAGATCCGCTGGTCAAACAGTAGATGTCATCTACAGAACCAAATCCCTCAAGTGGCACACACACACACACAATAGGCATGAAAATGGTCGAATAAGCTGAAAATAGTGCGGATGATAATGTTAATAAATAAATATACTCAATATTTTTTTACCTTAAATTTAGGCCTTAATATACTCTTTGTTGCTATTGGTGAAATATCATACTTAAGTAAGATATATTTAAATAGAAAATTGATATTTATGATTAATAATATTTGGTAAACTCAACCAAACAGGATATGATTCTATATACATTTTAATATTAAGAAGAATTAGTAAATCTATCTAGGTAACACAAAATAATGGGTATTATATTACCTGACCATCTGTCATTTTGGTTTGAGATCCGAATTGTTTGCTCACGTTGTATTTGTCAAAGATTTTCTGCCGGACATCCTATAAGTTAGAAAAGAAATATATTATATGTCTTTATATGTATGCTAAGAAAAGTATAGTAAAATTTAGTAATTTTCTGTCCCAGCCACTGAAGGTATTTTTCATAGACTTAAAATAAAATATAGACTGAGCATCTCATTCATAAATAGCTGGAACATGCGGTCAGACAATGTCTTGTTATTGTTGTGTTATTGTTTTAGGCTCTAACGAGCGACACGAGCGACAGATAGGTTGTCTCCGTCGTAACGGTCGTTCCCTGACGACTGTGACGAAGAATGCAACACTGTCTTTCGTTCCTCAGTACACCTGAACTCTCCGTACCATAGCCGGGTATTTTTTTTATTTTAATGAAGCTATAATTCAATTAAAAATACATCGTATTTAACTTTTAAGATTTTCAATGATATTATATGAAATAAATTACTGAGTTATAGCCAATTCTTATCTTTCTTGACTAATTCCACTTAGTTGGCATGGTGTTCTTATTTTGTTATGATTTATAACTTATAAAAAGACAAAATATATTATTAAACGGCTCTTTATAATTTACATTACACAAACTAAAACTTAAAAAAAATTATATCACCACATACACTTTAAGTTATTTTAGAAAATGTTCAAAAAATCCGCCATTGTTTGGAGTACATAAATGCATCTTTTTAAAACTGAATTTCTAGCTATTCTTTTTATTTAACTTGTTTCCATGGCTAACTAATTGAAATTAATCAAGAAAGATAAGAATTGGCTATAAATCAGTAATTTTTTGAAAAAAAAACATATTATAACTTATATCGCTGAAAAACTTAAAAATGTGGCGCATTTTATGAAGTCATGGCCAACTATGGTTTTCATTTAAAAAAACATACGTTTGTGTCATATGTCAAAAATGGCAGGCTTTAGAAAAAATCGGAGAACACAAACTTATTAGGGATGTGATTATCTACAGCTTTTATCTGAAAACTTTTTGTCTAAAATAGATTATAATGGAATTAGGGACAAATATTAAAATAGCCAAAATTTGTTTTTTTCGAAATATCAAGTAAGCTATGAACTTTTTCAAAAATCTGAAAGGCGCATATTTATGACCCCACAAAACTGCAATTCTTTCCCCATTTAACCGACTCTCTAATTCCAGTAGTTTCTGAGATACCCATAGAGAACATCGTAGGAAACTCACCCTGTATACCACTGGAATTATAAAGTGTTATAACCTCGGGCAATTACCACCCTTATAATTCTCCTGATACATAAATAACTATATTTTTTACATTCTTCACTCGGTATTTTAATGACAGACTTTATAACTTTTTATTATCTTCATGTTTTGTGTAAATTAATTTTATTACTTACTTCGATACTACTAATTTTCTTATCGTCTGGCCTACTTTCAACAAGTTCTAGCCGTTTTTTAGGACCAATTTGCTGCTCTATTAAATTGATCAAGTCACTTCTGGATACACTGCCCAATAGAATCATATTGTGGACGTTATCAACCAATGGAAATACTTTTATATTTTTATTCGCTTTCAATACGTCTTTTAGTTTGGTGTAGGTCATCCCTAAGTGTACGAATTTCACGTCTCTGATCATGAAGTCCTCCACAAATATTCGATATATTGCTGAAAGTAGAAAGATATAACTATAAGAAATACCAGTTAGTTATTAATATTATTATTGTTAATTATAATAAAAGAAATATATCATTAAAAAACCATTAATGAACAGTGCTTTCCATAAAATCAATAAAATGGAGAATATACGAAATAATATACATGTTCTGATTTCTTTCGAAAATCGACAACTATGAAACTATGAACCCTTCCTGGTCACAAACGGTACATTGTGAGACAGGAAATTGTAGAGAGAAACAAGCCGTATAACATAGGATACAACATTTTAATGAACAGTGCTTTCCATAAAATGTTATCGTATATCGATATAGCATTAAATATGCCCCTCCCTACTTATAATTCAAATTTGGCGCCTTGCCTTGACGTGAAAAACGGAAAGGAAGTAGGAGGAGCCTAACGACTCGCTTCGAAGACGACGACGCGCCAAGAGTTTCGAGGCCGGTCGAGGTCGAAAAAAATGTGCAAAATAAATAGTTTTTATTGAAACTGTTGTGTCTCTCAATAAAATTAAAACCCACGAAAAGCATTTTTCGTATACATGGCGCCCAACAGCGTAGAGCCGAAGCTGGAGAATTGCTGCTAACAAAATGGAATCGTTCAAGGTTGTTGACGAGACGCCCAAGCTTCCCGAGAACAAGAATGGCGGTGATTTTCTGGACTTTTCTGTTTTCGAAAAGCAGAGTTCCCACAGTTCCCACTCCCACAACCCTTTCAAAGAATCAACGGACAGCAGTGAACAACTAGAGCCAACCCGACCTGACAACCTTAAGGCAGCGATCATCATGGAACTGTTAAAACCTACGATCAGATCCAGGCCAACAACTATCCGACACAGTCATCGAGAAACCAGCACTAAGAAGTCTTCTTAAAATTGTAAATGGAGTAAGTACACAATCGCATCTTCCTAGAATAAAAATTAAAATTCATAATAAAGTTATTTTCGCACTTTTAGATTCTGGAGCTAGCGTAAATCTTATACATCCAAATGTTTTACCTAATCTTAATTATAACAAAAGTAACCAAGATTTTATTTTAACTTGTTATGACATCCAAGTTCAGTCGTCAGGGCCAATTAATCTAAATTTTGATATAGACTTGCCCCTTCAGGCAATTTCCCCGATTATGACACCTCCAGTTTAGAAAATGGCTCTTCTGAAGATTCAGAACCTGAAACCCCTGCTGACGAGGACTCGCCACCAAGTTTCGATGCTGTTCCTGAACTTAGTTTAGCTCAATCCGATTCTCAGATAAACTTAGACGAGGTATCTAGTTTCCCCTCCTTAGAGCCTAGGTTAGAGAGAAGAAATCGTCGGTTGGATTATCGACGTTTTCCTAGAAATTATGCTGTTTTGGATAAAGCTCATAGTTCTATAAGGTCTTGTACCTCACCACCTTTTCCATCAAATTCGAATGCACCTAGAAATTATGCTGTTTTGGATAAAGCTCATAGTTCTATAAGGTCTTGTACCTCATCACCTTCTCCATCAAATTCGAATGTAACCCAAACGTATCTTAACTCGTCTATTAGACGTCGTACCGTAAAGCCAAAGACTTGTACACTTAGTTGTTGCACTTGATAATGGTTATTACCGACTTTATTAAACTTACCTACCTTACTACAGAATCTAAACGTATTTTACACAAATCTAACAAAAGGAAGATTTGATTTGTACTTATTTTCATTTTTAAGTTTTCCATTCATTTATTTTGTTTTAAGAATTATTTTGAATTTTGTACTCTGTACTATCATTATTTTAGAAGATATAACTTAATATTTTCTGTTACTTTACTAGGGTTATTATTACTTATTTATTTTCATTTAGTTCATGTAAAATTTGTATTTTTGCATTGATTTATGTAAAATTTTGTATTATTGTTTTAACCGTCATGGCAACGCTTTTTCAAAGTGGGGGGGTGTTATCGTATATCGATATAGCATTAAATATGCCCCTCCCTACTTATAATTCAAATTTGGCGCCTTGCCTTGACGTGAAAAACAGAAAGGAAGTAGGAGGAGCCTAACGACTCGCTTCGAAGACGACGACGTGCCAAGAGTTTCGAGGCCGGTCGAGGTTGAAAAAACTGCAAAATAAATAGTTTTTATTGAAACTGTTGTGTCTCTCAATAAAATTAAAACCCACGAAAAGCATTTTTCGTATACAAAAATCAATAAAATGGAGAATATACGAAATAATATACATGTTCTGATTTCTTTCGAAAATCGACATCTATGAAACTATAAACCCTTCCTGGTCACAAACGGTACATTGTGAGACAGGAAATTGTAGAGAGAAACAAGCCCTATAACATAGGACACAACATTTTAATGAACAGTGCTTTCCATAAAATCAATAAAATGGAGAATATACGAAATAATATACATGTTCTGATTTCTTTCGAAAATCGACATCTATGACACTATGAACCCTTCCTGGTCACAAATGGTACATTGTGAGACAGGAAATTGTAGAGAGAAACAAGCCGTATAACATAGGATACAACATTTTAATGAACAGTGCTTTCCATAAAATCAATAAAATGGAGAATATACGAAATAATATATATGTTCTGATTTCTTTCGAAAATCGACATCTATGAAACTATGAACCCTTCCTGGTCACAGAAATATATCATTAAAAAACCAACTTTCAAAATAAAAAATTGAGGACGAAAGTGTAAAAAACGGGATAGGCGAAAATTGTTTTAACCCCTTTTTAAATGTCAAGAATTTACCCAAAAGTTATGTAAACGTTATATGGATAATCTTTTATATTTTCTTAGCGGCATTCAATCCATTTCCATTCACAAATTAATTAAACCAAACCAAATTAATTGGAAAAAATCGAAATAAAAATGAAACTTCTACACCCTGTATCTCCGAAACTCAGCATTTTAGGACATACATTTATACGAACTTTTTTTCTTATTTTCATCTGTAGATTATGCTGCCGAAGTTTCCGGAATATAGTTCGGACCACCCTGTATATTATGATCTAGGAAAATAACTTACCACTACTGCTAGGCAACAAGTCTGGCAAATACGGCAGTTTTCCCATACCTATACCCACGTCATATATACTAGGAGTAAACAGCCTGGCTATACCGTTCGCAATGAGATTCGAAATAAGTACAGGAATAACGTAACGAATTTGTGACGTCATTTCGAACAAAATCACGCTGGTGGATAGCGTGTGAGTGACGGCGCCACTGTACGCCGCGGCCCCTACAGTGGCGTACGCTCCTGGCATGATTTTTGAGATTTTCCCAGTCGTTTGTATACCTAGAAATGTTTTTTTGATGTATATTTTTTATATTTTTATTAGCGATGGGAACTATCGAATGAATTAGACTATCGAATGGTTAATGAATGAATGATTTCAACTATCAAATGGTTTTATTCGAATAAAATCATTCATTCATTTGTATACTAAAGCATACGTGACAACCTCGCTGTGCCACTAAATGGTTATCGTTGAGCCACGACTATCGAATGCTTATGATAAATGAAATTTAGTATCCGTTTGATTTTTGTGTGCGTCAGTGCAATATTAGTTCTTCCAAATTTTTATAAGTTCGCCGTATAAATACTGTGCTATTTTTGCGTTTATTAAAATATTTGAAATACTAAAATAGTAGTTTTTTTTTAATTGGCGATTGTGTGCGTGTGCAGGTGGTCAACATTTTTCCGAAAATTTTTGTGATTTTCCGTAGCCCGATCTTTCAATTCTTTAATTTTATATGGTATATGGTCTATTTTTTAATGGAAAATTTTGAGAAGTAGCAATTTTTAAGAGAGATGAGATGAACTTACAATTAATTTTAAAAATAGATATTTGTATTTTAGATGTTTTAATAATATGAATTAGTTGAACATAATAATCATATTTAAGTAATGTGGTTAAGTAAATGGTTATCGAACTCAAACTATGGGGTGAGAAAATTAAATTGAAAGTTTTACACGTGCCAAATTTAAAAAAAGGTTAACGATGTGTGTATTTTGTTTATGCTAATTCTCTTACATGTAGTTTTTTGCGAAGAAATATTTCAATTATTTTTTAAAGTAAATGCCAGTAAAAGTAAATAATATTATTTCTAAATAGTAATATAAAGCACCTAAAGGTGCGTATTCATTATCCGCACGAACGAACGAACGAACGAACGAATGTTCGCTAGTGGTATGGACGGGGACCGCACGATAGGACCGCACGAGAAGACCGGAGGCATTTGTTGGCCAACGCCGTTGATGTACCGACTCGAAACGGATGGTCGAGCGAACGAACGAACGAACGGCCGCATGCGTTCGGTCCCCGTCTAAATATACCGCACTTTCATTCGTTCGTTCGTTCGTTCGGATAATGAATACGCACCTTAATATAAATACTTTTGATTTCTAATTTTTTATTTATATTTTCCTTCCATTACACTGCATGCTTAGAAAATTAATAAATGTTGATATTTCATGATTTTAAAATTTGTTGTTAATATAACAAATTAGTTCTGTAATTATTATTATTTAAAAAACAACCGTTGCCAAAAAATTTAGAGTCTATATTATTTTTAAATAGGATCTAATATAAATAATTTTTACATCTAATTTGTTGTTTATATTTTGCCACTACTTAAAAAAATGTTTATATTAAATGATTTTAAATTTTGTCGTTAGTAGGTATAACAAATTATTACTGTTATTATTATTTATTAAACTTATGCTTAAAAGCATTAAAAATCATTTTCCTACATCCAAAATAACAAGTATTATTGCAGTGTAACAACAGAATATTAATAAAAAAAATGCAAAATATATAGACGTACTATCCCTAACTAACTAAAGCCAGACAATAATATTCTTTGCTAATATCAACTAATACCAATATATGGCAACAGCGCCCTTCATAATGTAGTTTTTGTGTAAATACTAACACCTCAATAAAAAAAATAATGTGTCCTTATCTACTCCGCAAAAAATCAAAGATGCCGCCTTCTTTCATAGCATTGCCACCGACCGCTGTCGGGTTTCTCGGAAAGAAATCTACGTCGCCGGGCGACAACTAAAATCCAGTTAATATTTTATTATAATCGATCATGATGAATAAATGAATTTCATAAATGAATGAACTTTATAAATGAATGGTTTTTGCTGCCGAATTACTAGAATACAATATTTCAAGGCAGATGACGCGTCTATTCGATAATTTTTATTCGAATAGTTTTCAACGAATGTTTTCTTACTAGCTATCGAATTATTCGAATGAATTGCAACTATCGAATGTTTCGATAGTATTCATTCGATAGTTCCCACTACTAATTTTTATATGAAAGTACAGATACCTTGGGGAAACCATGTGGCCATAAGTTCTCCAATAATTCTACCTAGAGCTGCTCCACTTCTGAAGTTCGGGATAAATGCTCCGTTTGGAATAGGTAGGGTAGTACCGAGGATCGAAGCAATAAACTAAAAGAATAACGTTTACTGTAATTAGTGTATTCTCTCACCATCCCGTCCATCCACTCGCATTACCTAACGTCGTTTAACTTCGCAGAATTTAAAAAGTAACTAACTGAATTTTCCGACCTTTTTTTTCTACCTTAACTTAAGTTTCTTAAGGTTTATTACGGGATTTGCGAAAGAAAATTACCTGGTACCAAAAAAACACGACCAAATTTGCATAAATGTCAGTCTTATCCGTACTCCAGTTGCTTATAATTTGCTGTTGGGCCACAGTGTGGTTCCCTTGAGTCCATGCGAAGTTTGAAAAAAGCTGAACAACTTGCAGTTTCGGTGCTAGAGTTGAAGCAATAAATTGACCTAATCCCGGGGGATATGTCATGGAAGAAACTGCCAAAATTATTATAAACGGATATACGAATCGGCTAAAAATATTAATTTCAAAGTTATTTAATCATGAAATCGTTAATTGAAAAATTTAGCTTACTTTTTATTTTTAACCCACAGTATATATTTGTTGGTTTTCGTGAATCTGTTGATTGCTCTTTGACAAAATATGTAAAATGAGCCACCTAGCCCGCATATGATTCTAAAAATAATTAATATAGTACTCAATTTGATTTTTGATCATGTTCAAAAACCTTACCCCAATATGGCAAAGGCTAGTAACTCTGTGGGATCGTAGGGAAAATCAGTGGGAAAACTCGTGGGAAAAACCACCCTTATTGTATCCAGACCGTCAATCCACACGTATAATAACCTGTAATTTTATTAGTAATCCTCAAAACACGCTATTGAAATTTGGAAAAGTATAAATGACATTAAGCAATTTTTTTAATAAAAAATGCATTTTTCTAATAAAAAAGTTTTCCCTCTCATTAACGTCACAGATTACATAATATTACTAAAGAAATCATTAGTTTTCCTATCTACAAATAAATATACAGGGTGGCCCATCGAATAAGGTCAGGGTAATTTTTTTTTCAGAAAATTCAAAAACACGTCAATTTTGTTTGTGAGGGGACAACTTTTGTTCCAAAAATGATTGCAAAATCTTCAACCCTGTAAGCGGGGGTGTCATCCCCCAACTTTTTTCAAATGGGAAGGGGGGTCAAGGGGTACCGCAATGAAAAGGGCTTTTTATTCTCTATACTTTCCCGCTTCGTTTTTGAAAATCGGTCGAGTCATTGAGAAAATATGAAGGATTGAAATTTGAAAACCAAACCAAACATTTATCAGAGTAGAATTTTTAGAATTTAGAATGAGTGGGAGGGGGGTTAATCACTGCGACCTTACAGATCCATTGTGTCCCCCTTTCTTGAGTCATAACTCATCATACAGTCCCAGGGCTTTGACAAAAGCCAGTATCTGGGACGGTTTTATAGAGGGTAGTTCTCCATCTCCAATATCAGTCGTACCAAAATTCATGGCACGAATGGTTGTCGTCTCGGCGCACTCAGTGATGAGGTGTACTGGTGTTTCCCCATCTTCCCCACAGAATCTGCATTCGCCGTTTCTTCTTAGTTTCAATCTACTGAGGTGTTCATTGAGGAGACAGTGTCCTGTTAAAAACCCCGTGACAATCCGAAGATTGTTCTTATTTAAACCCAGAAAGATCTGTGATTTTTCTTGATCATAAGCCCTCAGAAACTTCTTCGAGTGTCTTAGACCGTTGCAAGATTTCCATTCCAGGTTGCGGATGGAATCTTCCAAGTTCTTGAGTTCCGCCTTGAGTTGGTTACCACTTGGAAAGCAGAACGGTTCTGGTCCAGTTAGTGGAGTTAGTGGAGTGTTCGCTCCTTTCCTAGCTAGATTATTTGCTTTTTCATTGCCTTCTATCCCTCGGTGAGCAGGCACCCAGAGTAGGAGGACTTTGTTTTCTTTGCCTAATTTATTCAGCTTCTCTATGCATTCTTTGACCAATTTCTTTATCAGAGTAAATGATAAGGATAAATACCTTCGACCAATTTGCTGTTTTTTCTCATTACTTCTAGCCATTTTTTCACTTGTCACAAGGTTGAACGATCAGGTGCGGCAGTTGCTAGATAGCTGTTCTGTGACTTGTGCGTTGAAGTTCTTCTCAATATCGTTAAAAACTTTTTAACAATTATGGTATACTCACTTGCAGAAAAAGTGGAAATAATCGAACTTTATTTTAAAAATAATGAATGTAGCAATCGGGTTCCGCAGATATTCAATGAATGCCATCCTGTAAAACACCTTTATGGCAAAATTGTTCGCGAGTTAGTAGCAAAATTTCGCGAAACTGGTTCCGTTATGAATAAAAAGAGGCAGAGGGAAAACCCTGTAGTAAATGAAGCTATGGAGGTATTCGTATTGGGCCAAGTTGTCATGGATAGTACGCTGAGTACAAGAAAATTAGCCAGTGAGACCGGCGTGAATCGTGCAAGTGTCCAAAGGATATTAAAAAAACACAAGTTCCACCCGTACAAAATTCAGTTGGTACAAGAACTCAACGAAGACGATTTTGATCGTCACTTGCAATTTTGTGAAACTGTGAGTGAACGAGTGGCGAATGATAATAATTTCCTATTTAATGTGTGTTTTTCGGATGAGTGTACTTTCTTTTTGAACGGTGTAGTTAATCGGCATAACTGTCGGTACTGAGGAGTTTTTCACGAGGTGCACACACAAAACCCTCAGAAACTAAACGTGTGGGCTGGTATTTTTTGGAAATTCTATTTTAGGTCACTTTAACGATATTGAGAAGAACTTCAACGCACAAGTCACAGAACAGCTATCTATCAGCTATCTAGCATCTGCCGCACCTGATCGTTTAACCTTGTGGCAAGTGAAAAAATGCGTAAACATCTAGAAATAATAAGAAAAAAACAGCAAATTGGTCGAAGGAATTTATCCTTATCATTTACTCTGATAAACGTTTAAATAAACTTTTCAAATTTCAATCCTTTATATTTTCTCAATGACTGGACCGATTTTCAAAAACGAAGCGGGAAAGTATAGAGAATAAAAAACCCTTTTCATTGCGGTACCACCTGACCCCCTTCCCATTTGAAAAAAGTTGGGGGATGACACCCCCGTTTAGAGGGTTGAAGATTTTGCAATCATTTTTGGGGCAAAAGTTGTCCCCCTCACAAACAAAATTGAAGTGTTTTTGGATTTTTTGAAAAAAATATATCCTGGCCGTTATGTCTGGCGGAACGTTTTCGATGGGCCACCCTGTATAGACAGTAGACTTAATGAAGAACAGATATACCCTAGCTTAGAATCAGCAAACAAAACGTATAGTTACAAATAAAGACGAATAGTTGTCTAGTAGCAGGACCACAAAGCAACAAGACAACTAATTTTGTGATTTAACCTGTAAAATGTAGCTCCCCAAACAGCTGCAAAAAAACCTCTCCAGTAATTTCTAACAGCATAGTACGCCGTCGATATTTCCACGCTGAACAGTACCCCTAAAATCAAGTGACTGCTTTAAATAAGTATCATTAAAATATAAGTGCCACTATGTTCACTTGTCCTACACTACTTTGTCCTAAAATTATTTTGTCCTAAACTACTTTGTCCTAAAACTGTTTTGTCCTAAACTACTTTGTCCTAAACTAAGATTATTTTACCTCCAATTGGAGCATTGAACGTGCATGCCACTCCCGCAGCATACGCTGCACCAATCAGTTCGATTTTCTTGTTTTCGTTCAAGTAAACGCTTTTAAAATTCGACAAGTATTTGCTGATCTTGGTCACGATTATACTGGCCATCTGGATAAGAGGACCTTCCTTGCCCATCGGAAGTCCGCTCCCAATGGTGGCTATTATGCCCGTCCATTTAGCTATCAGCACCTTGAAACTTAGGAATTCTTTCAGGTAAACTCCTCGGAGGCAAGTTTTGATTTGAGGCACGCCCGAGCCTGTAAGAATAGCCCAGTTATTTTAAGAATTTTTTTTTTTTTGGTATTTTAGCATCATAAAAAATGTTTCCTTACCTACGGCTTTAGGTGCAATGATAGCTATGAATCCTACATCCCATAGAATAAGTATAACAGGAAGACATACCCAAGCTAACCATTTCACAAACCCAATGTTCACTGCGTTTGCGTATAACAAGGCCTTAGCTAATTTGTATTAAAAACAATATATTAATTGCGCTGCTTTTAAAATACCATTCGATCAAAAAAAAGGCGTCAAAGACGGCTGGGGAATGACAATCGAAATAGATTTGTGTGTCTAGAAAGGTTCTATGCTTTTTTAAACTTTCTATAATTATTAGTGTTACTTTTTGATAAGTTTTATGTCAATTTTTAGTAAATGACTTTTCATAGAGATTGACCTCGCGAAACTTATCATCGATGGTCTTCTCCCAGGTGTCTTTGACGCCATTTATTTTCGATCATACGGTATTTATAGATATTTACAGTTTTCCTATATTTAAAATCATTTATAAGGTATATTTTAAAACTTATACACTTTAAAATTATTGATGTAATATTGTTTCGTTCAGTTATATTATATATTTATATACCTTTGGAACAAGCTATAACTCCTTGATCAATACTATAACTTATTATAGCTACAGAGATGCCCAAAAAAGCCAGAAATATCCAGTCCTCGCCAAAGTGCCCAAATGTATTTTGCCATAGTGATAGATAAAATCTTTGACATCTCCCTAGTAGATAACAGAAATAATTTTTAAATCGATTTTATTTATGTTTATTAAGGAACTTTTGGCAAACACTACAGAAACTAAGATATTCTTTTCTTGTAAAAGAAACTGAAAAAAATATATATTATATTAATTTAGAATTAATTTTTAAATTTATTTTGTTATATGAATTAAAATTCCTTCACCATTTTGTGAAGAATTATTTTCAATTGAGTATTGAGTATACTAAAAGTTTTTTTATATTTTTTTAATACTTTAAAGGTCTAATTCATTTAATAATTATTTTTTTTACATACCCCTGCTACTATACAGTTCCAATCTATTTTCCTTCTCAAGTTCCTTCTGTTTTCTCTTATCAGCAAGTTTTTTTTCTTTCAAAGATTCATATAAATCTTCTAAAGACTTATTATAATACTGTAATATTTCAAAAATTATTAATTTACACTTTTCTTAATTCATTTTTTTTTAATTTTTACCTGAACTGTACTATACTGGGTGTCGTAAAGTTGCGATTTAGGAAGATATTTCCCTTTTCCGCTCATTATTAATTAAAAATACCGAAAAAATGAAGTGAACATCTCAAAGTAGCGCGTAAAACTATTGTAAAGGGTTAAAATTAACTATCAGCGACATAGTTAATACGGTTATTGAGATTTTTCTACATCAAATATGCGAAACGGGTCAATATTTGTTAGTAATAATTATAAAAAAATTGTTTGCTACCGCTATAAGTGCTGCATTTACTTTCCTTGGCTTCTACAGTCATTATAAACTTGATTAAATATTTGATTGTTTATTAACAAACAACTAGGCTTAAATATCTTACGTTAGTAGTAGAAATAGTGGATTTTATTAGTGTTTTTAGTGTTCTAGATACCATAAAAATGATACTGTTTATAATATGTAGAAGAATTTTTTTTATTTTAAAATTTTATTCCATAGCGTTTAAAATATTAAGATTTAGAAGAAATAGGGTATATAACCAACAATACATGCCTTAGTTCAAGTTTTTTCTCCTAGGGGTATTAAGATATTCTTTGTCATAGGTAAATGGATTTTCTTATACTAATAAAAGTTCCTTCGCCATTTTGTCAAGAATTATTTCCAATTGAATCATTTGAAGTATAGAAAACTTATTGAAGGATAGAGGTTTTGAAAAATGGTCACATTAAAATTGTTTCCTAGTGTAGTAAAATTAAATACATAAAACTTTTAGTCTGAATGTAAAAAATATTAAATAAAATGTTTATTAGAGGTTGCAAGATATATTATTTTTAAATAAGTCCGATACCCTGTGGTTTAGCCCACATAGAAGTAATGAAAATCCAAAAATCGACTAAGAAAAGAGCAGAAAACTCTACAAGTAGCACGAGAACCTTCTGCCTCCCAAGTGGAAAACGAACCTTAATGAGCGGAACTCAAGAACCTGAGAAACTCCAGGGTCAAGTGGCCACCCAGTGAAACAAGCTTTCTATTCTCATATATTTCCACCGCTCGTTTTTTGAAAAAGTCGTCGATTCATTGAGAATAATAGAAGATTGAATCTTTGAAAGTTTATTTAAACATTTTTTTTTGTTTTTTTTTAATGATAAGGATAAATTCCTTCGACCAAATTTCTATTTTTTATTATTCTAAGTTTTAACGCATTTTTTTCGCTTGCCACAAGGTTGAACATCAGGTGCGGTAGTTGCTAGATAGATGTTCTGTGACTTTTGCTTTTTGAAATTCTTTTCAATATCGTTAAAATTTTTAACAATAAAAAAAAAAAAAAAAAAAAAAAAAAAAAAAAAAAAAAAAGAAACTTTATTTTAAAAATAGATAGATGTGGCATCCATGTTCGAAGTATCCAGTCTCAGGAGAGTTTTCCGTGTATATTGGGTTTTAAGATATTCTTTTTAGTCATGATATAATGTTATTTAAAAATTAATTTTACCCGCCCATTCCAAGAAACGACTTCTCAACTTATTAAAACTGCTGATGACACATGCCATCCAGTTAAAAAGACCCAATCCAGGAGGGCTTTCTCGCTATATTTCGGTTTTAATATAACGAGAAAACTTTATATTATATAAAAAATGTATTTAAAAAATAATTTTTACCCCCCAATAAACAACTTCTGAAGTCTATGGTTAAACTGCTGATGACACGATGCCCTCCAGATCCGAAAAGACCCAGTCCAGGAGAGTTCTCGTATATTTGTTTATATATTCTGTTGATGATAATAATGTTATTTAAAATAATTTTACCCCCCGAATGCCAGAAACGTACTTCTCAGCCTAACATGGAAAACTGCCTGATGACACACGCCATCCAGTCGACAAGGACCCAGTTCCAGGAAGTTTTATCTCTTCTG